CTGCAGCTCAGCACGGGCAGGCCACCTGCACGTGGTCCTGGCTCAGGCGGGGACCCCCACCCCCAGCTCTGGAGGAGGGCAGGGCTGCTCCCCAGGAGCCGCCAAGGGCGGGTGTCACATCGGACGAGGGGCCTGAGCAGGCCCAGGAGAGCCGGATGCCCGCACCCCAGGGGCACAGGCAGCAGAGATGGAAAGCAGAGGGGTCGAGGGGCCAGACCCCAGGGGAGCGAGGCCTGGCCTGGAGGTGGCCGTGCCCGCGGCCCGCGGGGGCGCACTCTGGGTGCTGCCTCCCCAGGAGCTTGGCCACCTGCCCGGTGCCGGGTGCACAGCTGGGCCCAGCCTGGGCCACGGAGGCCCGGAGCCTCGGCCGGCCAAGGGCATCCTCTGCGGGTGCCCTGGACGCTGGGGTCACCCAGACACACGCCGTGAAACCGGGGGTCCCCGGGGGTGGTCCCTTTTCCCCCGGGCTCGCCCACCAGCCCCCACACCAACGCTGCTTCCCGGGCGGGGCCAGCAGAGACGCGGTTTGGGGTCGCCGGGGCCGTGGGCAGGCGGGGGCCCCTCACACACCAACCTCCTGAGAGCACCTGGCACCGCCACCAGGAATGAGATGGGTCACAGTCCTTCCCCAGGGCCTGGGGTAAGGTTCCCGGGAGCAGGCCCCTGAGGGCAGTGAGCGAGGGCCTCACCCAGCAGGACGGGCATCTGAGGGAAGAGGAGGCGCCCAGCAGCTTGGCTCAAGGGCTGAGCGTGGACCTAGGAACCAGGAGATCAGGGTTCGATTCCCGGTCAGGGCACAGGCCCGGGTTGTGGGCTGGATCCCCATGGGGAGCACACGGTAGGCAACCGATCGATGATTCTCTTTTGTCATTGATGTTCTCTTGCTCCTTCTCTCTTCCTCTCTGAAACCAATAAAAACAGCCCTGGCCGGTATGGATCAGGGGATAGAGCATCCGCCTGCGGACTAAAAAGTCCCAGGTTTGATTCCGGTCAAGGGCATGTACCTTGGTTGCGGGCACATCCCCGGTAGAGGGTGTGCAAGAGGCAGCTGGTCGATGTCTCTCTCTCATTGACGTTTCTAGCTCTCTATCCCTCTCTCCTCCTTTCTGTAAAAAATCAATAAAATATATTTATTTTTTAAAAGGGGGGAAAAAAAGAAAATTAACTATCTTATAGTGTGAAAGAATGTTAGGAAAAAAGAAACACTTTAAAACACACACACACACACACACACACACAACAAAAAACCCTGATCCCGCCGAGCTAGTATCTGGGGTGCAGCCCTCGGAGGCCACGAGGGTGGGCGCCAATGCAAGCAGCAGCAGCGGCCGCTGGCCCTGTCTCCGCCACCTGAGAGCAGAAATACATCGCGAAGGGCCGTCACCAGACCCAACTGCTAGAACCCCGACCCGGACTCCAGCCCCCGGCGGGGAGCAGTGTCTGCCCTTTCAGCCCCCGCCCCCCGGCCCCGTGCGGCCCTCGGCCAGCGGCCCCAGCTCGGGGAGGGAGGCAGGAGCCTGGCCCCGTCGCTGTGAGAGGTGGGAGGTGAGCGTCCAGGCCGGGGCGGGTGGGGGGGAGGGAAGCTGGGACAGGGACGCCCCAGAAACAGGGTGGGGAGCAGACATGGCTGAGACCCAAGCAGGACACACAGGGACACTCCCGTGAGCCCCGAGGATGCACAGACCCCCCCACGGTGGCTCGTCCCTTGGGGGGCCTGGCACCCCCGGACGGCTCGTGTCCACGGCGGGTCCAGGCCTGCCATCAACTGAAGGGACAATGGGGGGAGGTCACCTCACACCCATCAGAACGGCCACATCAGCACCCACAGCGCGGGTGCCGGCGAGGCGGCGGGGAGGGCGTGTGCAGCGGGTCTGCAGGCCGCCCGCGCCCTCCGCCCGCCTTCCCGTGTGTTACTCCTCACCCAGGACGCTCCCCCGGGTTTTTGGAGAGGGGAGGGGGAGGGGAGGGGAGACAGAGAAGCGTCAATGGGAGAGAAGCACGTGTCTGCCGCCTCCTGCACACGCCCAGCGGGTCCAGGTGCAGGCCCTTGGACAGAACTGGACCTGGGACCGAACGCAGTTCTATCCACTGAGCCACACCGGCCAGGGCTCCGGCGTTGGAAACGGCCTCAGGGAGCATGGACCAGAGCGGTGTGGTGCCTGCCTCCCTCCAGCCGAACCCCAGCCCGGCGGCCGGGCACACACAGAGGGCCCGGGCGGTCGGCCGGGATAGGCCGATCTGCCGAGAGGACACGGCTCAGGGCCGGGCCCCGGGGCTGCAGGCCGCCCCCGCGAACACAAAGGAGCCGAGTCTGCCTCCCGCCAGCGCCCGCGTCCCGGTCAGCAGCCCCTGTCGATCGGATCCGTTTCCCTCCCCACAGCAGCTTCCCAAACACACCGCCCTCCGCGCGGCGTGGTGCACCTCCCCTCCCATAAACACGCATGCACATGCACACGCACACACACACGCACACGCACACACACACGCGCGCGCACGCCGCCCGCCCCCTTGCATTGAGAAATCCGTGTGAAAGCACCGCCCCCTGCACGCACCAGCCCGGTCTCCAAAGCATAATTACCGGCGCCCGTCCCGAAGCCTAGCAACGGTAACCAGGCGCCCTCCGCGGGCTCATCGGACCCCGCTCACACCGGCTCACACCGGCTCAGGGAGCGCACAGGAGGGGGGAGGGCTGTAGCCGGGAGGACAGACGCGCGGAAGGACGGGCGCGGACACCGACCTCGCCCGGCTGAGGAGGAGCAGCCCATGTCATCGCCGCCATCTGCCTGCACCGCCCCCAAAGCCGCACAATCACAGACACAAACAGCGGGGAACTGGGTTATCCCAGAGCTTATCGGCCGGCACCGCCGTCAACCTCCCCGTGACCGGCAGGGACGCGGCTCCCGCCCCAGCCTGGCGTGGGGGCCTCCGCCTGCAGCCACAGCACATCCTGAGCCCCCCTCCTGACCTCAGCCGGCCGGCGGCGGATAAATGTGGGTGTTCACTGAAGCGCCACCTGCTCCCCGTTGGCAAACAAAAGCCCGTGGAGGTCACAGCAGCCTGTGGGGTGCCCGTCAGGGGACCAGAAGGCGAGCCGTAGTTACACTGGGTCCCCGTCTCTGTGTCGCTGAGAGGTGTCCAGCGGCCGGCAGGTATTACTTCTGTCCTCAGCCCGAGCCCTCTGCTGGGGAAGGCGTGTCGGCCTCCTGGTGGAAAGGCTACTTACACCCCAAATGGGAGAGGCCAGCCAGGAGCCGCCCGTCCCGGGCTCTAAAGCCCCCTCGGCGCCCCCGTGTGGCCTGGCGGCGCTGGAGGTAGTGTTCGCGGGGGACAGGTCAGAGGCGGGTCCTGAGCTTGAGGGGGGCTGGCGAGGACTGGGGGTCCAGGGCAGGGCTGGAGACCGGGGCCACAGGCCCCAGAGTTGCTCAGCTCCTTTCCGGGGCCAGGGAAGGAAGCCACGTCCCGCCTCCCCCCACGGGGGGCGCCCCGCTCAAGGAGGCGCTAAGCAAGGGCAGTGAGGGTGGCCCCGGATCCACGGAGCCCGTGCTGGGGCCCGGGCGGTGGCCGCCAGACGCCGTGTCCTCCTGTCCTGCTCTCTCAGGCCGGGAGGTGGCGGAACTCAGAGCCACTGCACCTGCTGGATCCCTCTGCAGGCCCTGCGCATGGCTCTGCGGTGCCCCGCGGAGGTGCTGCCCGCCATGGCGCTGCGTGGCATGGCTGGGTCTCAGAGCCATGGCTCGGGCCCGGCTCCCGGGAGGGCTCATGCAGCCGCGGGGAGAGAGGATGTCGGCCGGGCAAGGGCGGCTCCCAGAGGCGGGGGACCAGCCACACCACACGGCACAGACGGGACAGCCAGACCGAGGCCTCGCCTCCCCCGACACCGACCGCAGGCGAGGGGCGCAGGCAGGGACACACAGACGCACCCGCTACCTCTCCCGGCGCCGGGAGCCCCCCCTCGACGGGATGGTGCCACCATCGCGGACGCTCACCGCTGCCGGTCCAGGGGGCCTGCTCCCCGCTGCGGCTCCTGTGCAGGCCCGGGGCCGGGGGGCACAGGCCAGCCGGCTCCTCCGTGATGCAGGGCGGGGCCCAGCCGCCGGCAGGGCAGCGGGAGGGAGGAGGCGCCCCGGAGACGGTCCTCCTGGTTGGCATGAGGGGCACTGGAAGGGAGCGGGGGTCAGCGGGCGGCGGGCGGCACCGGGAGGGGCGATGCCCAGGAGGGCGGAGGGGTGGCCCCGGCCCATCTGGCCTCATCCAGCCGCCGCTTCTCCGTGTCGGTCAGCGGTCCCCACCTGACCTAAGCGTCTCTCAAATCCTGATGCCCCCCCCCCCAATTCCTACTATTCACAAAGCGAACCCCTGTTCCCGTGAGGAAGCCTGAAGGGCCGTGACCTTGGTCCAAACCAGTTTCCCAGGAGCAGGGCATCCACGAAGGAGAGAAATCAGAACCAAGGACAGCGAAGTCCTGAGGGAGGAATCACTAAGAAACTGTTTAAAAATAATAATAATAACAGGAGGCGATAGGGAAAATAGCAAATAAAGCTTGGAAACGTACCACAGAGACCTGGAATGCACACACGTGTCACCATGTGTGCTTATATGCTGTACGTGAGGCCCCAGGACCACAGACATGCAAAGCTCCCTGTGAGTGACGCGTTCTCACGTGGCCCCCTTACACGCCACGTGGCCCCCTGTGGGCCTGCGCCCCACGCTGGGAACCGCCGGTCTGTGGAGGCAGGTGTGTGGCAGAACCTTCTAGTGAACCCGTCGGGGTCCGGCCCCGTCCTGGGGCCACTTGGCCCGCTTCTTGCTCGGACTCGTGGGTCCCCGAGCCCGACCGGCCACGAGGTGGCCCCGGCACAGGACAGGCATCGCCTCTCCGCTCTCTGCCGCGTGGCTAAACTCAGACTCAGACCCGTCTGAGGAGGATGGGGGGGGGAGAGGGGTCCGCCCACACCGCCGCCTTGGCCACGCGCCCGCCAGCCCGCCCTGGCCCCACGCACCCACGTCCGTCTCCTTGTGGCTCCTGATGTACTCCGCCAGCTCGAAGTTGCCCGCGATGATCGCCACCTGCGGGAGAGGAAGGCGTTACGGCCCGAGACCAGCCCCTGCGCAGGGACAGCAAACGAGCCGATCGGGGCCTTAAAAAAAAAAAAAAAAAAAAAAAAAAAAAAAAAAAGCCCTGGCCGGTTGGCTCAGTGGGTAGCGCGTCGGCCTGCAGACTGAAGGGCCCCGGGTTCGATTCCGGTCAGGGCTCATGCCTGGTCCTGAAGCCACAATCCACAGGCTGGTGTCTGTTCCCATGGACCCGGGTCCCTGCGCGGACACTCGATGCCAACAGACTGCCAGCTGTGCCGCTGCCGCTGCTGCCGCTGCCGAATCGGCTACACGTGTGAGCAGACGCACACGCCGCCCACACCCTTAGCAACGCCCTTCAGCACGAGCCACGGCGCCGACCGGGGACAGACGGAGAGACCATAACGACAGCCGAGAACGGGTCGGCCTGCGCCTCATCAGGGCAGGGGCTGACCGGGCAGCTCACTGGCCTGACCCTGTTCTCCCGGGACCCGCCGAGGTAGCCCTTGGAAGCCCTGACGCCCCTCCTCCCAGGGAACCAGTACCCCATGGGACCCGGACCCCGTGGGACCGGGACCCCATTGAACCGGGACCCCGTGGAACCAGGACCCCATTGGACCAGGATCCCATGGGACCAGGACCCCATTGGACCGGGACCCCATGGGACCAGGACCCCATGGGACCGGGACCCCATGGGACCGGGACCCCATGGAACCAGGACCCCATGGGACCAGGACCCCATTGAACCGGGACCCCGTGGAACCAGGACCCCATTGGACCAGGATCCCATGGGACCAGGACCCCATTGGACCGGGACCCCATGGGACCGGGACCCCATGGGACCGGGACCCCATGGGACCGGGACCCCATGGGACCGGGACCCCGTGGGACCAGAACCCCGTGGCACCAGGACCCCGTGGCACCAGGACGCAGGGCTGCAGCCTGGCGTGCAATCGAGGACCAGTGTCCGGGAAGATCCAATGTAGAAACCGTCTGAACCTCCCCCGAACCCTGGACCAGGAGGCACATCCCTCAACACCACCCAGGGGGCCTCAGGGGCCGCACCCCTGCCGCACCCCCGGCCGGCAGCACTGGCGGGCCCCAGCGCCCTCCCCCCCCCCGCCCCGGCCTGGACGGCCGCTCCCCCGACGGTCCACGGCTGGACGGGGCACAGCCGGCCGCTGTGTCTGAACAAACGCCGTCCCCCAAGCTGCCTCTCAGGCTCGTCCTCACAGCGTGAACTAAACAGCTGACACCGGAGCAGGCGGACAAGGCCCCGGGGGTTTCAGACACCTGCCTCGCGGCGAAGGGAGGGCCCCTCCATCTTCCCCCCTCTCCGCTCCCCCCCTTTGGCTCCATCTCCCTGTGCGCTGCCAGCCTGGTGCCCGATGACCCAAGGGCAGGCTCAGCGAGGGCGGCCGGGGCGGGGGGACCCTGCGCTGCCCCGTCCTGGGACGCTGACCCTGGGCGGCCTCTCTCGGCGGCTGCAGGCTCCTCCGTCCGCCCTGGACGGCCGCTCGGGCCCTGGAGGGGCTCAGGGCTGAGCTCCCAGCCACAGGCCAGCTCCCGGGTCAGGGCGCCCAGGGGTGCGTGGCTCCCACGTTCCAGCGGGAAAGGTCGTTAGCAGCGTGGGGCAGCGCTGAGAGGGCGTGACGGCCCTTCCCGCACACAGGGGCGGGGGCGGGCACAGGCAGCTCGCCTGGTGGGTGATCCCCGGCTTACACCTCACACTCCCAAGGTCACGTGCTAGACCTCCATGAAGCTGCAATGGAGACCAGCGTGTTCTCAGCCTCTGCCCCCCCCCCGTCTCTCTGTCTCCCCGTCTCTGTCTCCCTATTTCTGTCTCCCTGTCTCCATCTCTGTCTCCCCGTCTCTCTCCATCTCTGCCTCCCCATCTCTCTTTACTCCCTATCTCTCAATGTCTCCCTACCTCTGTCTCCCTATCTCTAGGTCCCCCTGTCTCTATCTCTGTCTCCCCATCTCTGTCTCCCTCTCTCCATCTCTGTCTCCCCGTCTCTGTCTCCCTATCTCTCTCTCTCCATCTCTGTCTTTCCATCGTCTCCCTGTCTCTCTGTCTCCCCGTCTCTCTTCATCGCTGTCTCCCCATCTCTGACTCCGTGCCTCTCCCCTCACCTGTCTGTCTCCCCCCAGCACAGAGTCGGTGTGAGGCCCGGGAGGAGGCAGCCACGTGCCAGGACTGGCGACCACTGTCCTCGTCGGAGATGGAGCAGCCGGCACCTGCCCTCCCCCAGCCCCGGCGCCGGGACAAATCCATGTGGGCGGTCAGCGCCCGGCATCTGACACCCCGGAGGCCGAGTGACACCCAGGCGGCCGAGTGACACCCAGGCGGCCGAGAGGAGTGTGCCTCCTCCTTCCGGTTGGTGAGCCAGGAGGGCACCTTCAGGAGCAGACAGGTCTCTGCAAACTCCTCCACCCTCCTCAGCACCCCCTCCGCCCCCGCTGGCCCGCGCCAACACTGCCACCCAGTGGCCGGAGTGAGAAACTACAGGGAGCTGTGAGTCCAGCCTCTGCCAGGCCACAGCGCCTTCCCACGGACCCGCCGAGGCAGAGACTGGGCTCAGGAAGGTGGGACGGCACAGCCTCTTCCCAGCACATCGGGGGGAACTGGCGCAGGAGCCGCCCACTCCGACATGATACGAGGAAAAAAGTAACACGGGAGCCAGAGGCCGCAGGACGCCCCTGCAGAGGAGCTGGGGCTTTGAAGGGTGAGTAGGAGTCCACCGGGGACGATGCTGAGGGCAGGGGTACCCGTGAAGAGGTTCTTTAAGGTGGAGTCCAGTTGTCCCTTCCTGATGCCGTCCACCCAGACGGGCGTTTATAGGAGCCAACCCCACCCCCACTCGGTGCAGCTGCTGCTCCGCCCAGCCCCACACACACACACCCCCACCGCAGTCCGCGGCTCCTCAGAGCTTCGCCCCATTTCCATGGCACATTCGTGCCGGGAGACTACGCAACAGGAAGAAGGAGGCTCTCTGACCCTCTGAGACAGCGCGGAGGGACTGGAGAGCATCGTGCTAGGCCAGTGGTCGGCAAACTCATTCGTCCACAGAGCCAAATATCAACGGTACCACGACTGAAATTTCTAGAGCCAAATTTTTAAACTTAAACTTTCAACATTAAGAATTATTTTTAAAAAATTAAACATACTTTTATTGATTTCAAAGAAGGGACAGGGAGAGAGAGAAACATCAATGATGAGAGAGAGAGAGAGAGAGAGAGAGAAACGTCAATGATAAGAGAGAATCATGGATTGGCTGCCTCCTGCATGCCCCCTACTGGGGATTGAGTCCACTACAGGGGCATATGCCCCGACTGGGAACGGAGCCGTGACCTTCTGGTTCCTAGGTTAATGCTCAACCACTGAGCTACACTGGCTGGCCGCCTCCCATGTCCAAACAGCAAAATCCAGGGACCTGTCCCGATTTCTTTCCCTCTGAGTTTAGTCACTGACGCTCGGCCAGGGAGACGGGGCACCGCTCACCTGCCACACAGTCCGGTTCAGCCGTGTCTAGACCGAGACTACGCCCCCGGTTTCCGCGGTGCCGACTCTGGGCCGTGTCCACGCCCCAGAGCACCGGCCCTACCACGGCACCACGGCACCACGGCACCGCCTCTGAGTGAGGAGCCACGTGTTTTTTGTGTGTTGTGTTTTAATATGTTTGATTGATGTCAGAGAGGAAAGGCGAGGGAGAATTAGAAACATCTGTGATGAGAGAGAATCATGGACCGGTTGCCTCCTGGGGATGGAGCCTGCAAATTAGACATGTGCCCTGACCGGGAATGGAACCCAGGACCCTTCGGTCTGCAGGCCGGCGCTCTATCCACTGAACCACACTGGCCAGCCTAGAAGTTTCACTGGTAGGAAGGAAGGAGCTCTGGGAGCCGCCCGGCCCTGGGACCCAGGGACACAGAGGCACCGGGCACAGCTCCCAACGCAGGTGACATCCCGCACGAGCCAGCCGGCCTCGTGTCAAACACACGCGATGCTCAGAGACCCAGGGCCTCAGTCTCCCCCTGAAACCACCCCACACACACACACACACCCCTCTGTGCGGGTGTCCCGGGAGGGCTCCTCTCACCTGGAAGGGGGTCTGGCTGTTGTAGTTCTTCAGCTCCTTGTCGCCGCCCCGGAACAGCAGCACCCGCGCACAGCTGTCCTGCAGGGCACACGGGACACGGGGTGACGGACAAATCCCCCGGGAGCCACGCGGCCGGTCCCGCCCCGGCGGCAGAAGCTCCCTCCGGAGAATGCAGAGAAACGCACGCACCGTTAGAGAGAGGGCGGGTTCCTCCCTCTGCGCGGCCAGGACCAGGGGGACCCCCCAGGCCCACGCCCACGCCCAATGCTACCGGTTGAAGCTTAACTGCTACACACACTTGGGACAACTTGACAGGAGCTATAAAAGTTTAAAGTATATGCACCCCTGGGCCACGCATGCAGTCCTGCGCGTGTGCATGAAACACATCAGAAGTGCAACACGCCTGGCCGGTGCTGCTCAGTGGTGAGCATCAGCCTAGGAACCAGGAGGTCACGGTTGGATTCCTATCCAGACCACATGCCCAGGTGGCGGGCTCGGTGCCCAGGAGGGGGTGTGCAAACGAAGGCCTACAGGCTCAAGCAGGCCGCCGCCTGCTTTGTAAATAAAGTTTTACTGGCACACAGCCATACAGTCACCTAGTGCAGTCCGTGGCTGCCCTCCTCAGCGGCAGAGCGGTGTGGCTGTGGCCCCGTGGCCCTGTCCCTGTGGCCTCTGCAGAGAGGGTTCACTGACCCCTCCTCTAACCTAAGGTGCCTGGAGCAGGGCTTTCTGAGAGCCCGGCCAGCTCTGGGTCCTCCTGGAGCCCTCGGCCAAGAGGCGGGACAGACTGAGCAGGGACATGGGTCACCCCAACCCCGCCCGCCACAGGCTGCGGACGACAGAAACGCCGTGCCTCTGTCAGTGGAACCACCCCCCGCTCAGAGACCATCTTTGCCAGAAGCCAGTTCCAGCATGTCATAATTACAAGAGTTTCGCCAAAAGGTGGATGGAACTTGGGGGCTCAACAAGGGCTGAGTCACGTGAGTAATCACCTGTTGGAATGGCTAAAAGGCATGTCCCCCAAACCTGAATGGGATGGTTGTTTGCTGCCAGACAGCTCAGGGCATCTCTGTCTAGTTATTGCCTCCTGTTGGCCAAACGCCTGAGCAGCTGAAGGCAATTCCCCAATCTGGCGCTGCTTCTGTACGGAACCCTACCCCCGGAAGTGTACGTCTCCACCTTGCCTTAGGACAAATTGTGTTAATAAAAAGCAAGGGGTACTGAGACAAGAACTTAGCTCCTTTAGCTAAAGCTCCTCGGACCCCCCTCCCCCCCCCAAAATGCCTTTCAAATTTATCTTTCGTCTCTGGACTCCTATTTGATCTGCACACAGCCTTTCCCCAGATTGCTGAGCGCGTCTTCACGCTGGAACAAGAGCCCCAGCACATCGTGGCCACAATTATTTCAAGTGACAGCAAGCATGTTTATCCGGGTGCTTGTGTCAGGATGAAACACGCGCGAAACCTCCCAGGGACCACAAAGCACTGCTTCCTGTCGCGGGCAGTGAGAAGCACATGTTGGCACAGATGTTCTACAGCTGCGGCCAAGCCTCGGGGTGTGCTTTCCTAGAGCAGCTGGGCAAGGCACCCGGGCTCACACAGCTACTCCCATGCAGGCGCCAGGGTCCCCCGGGGAGCGCCCCGGCTGCACATAAATCCCACTGTGGGGGGGGGGGTGGTCGCCTCCATAAGCAGGAAGCCAGGTCCCACCCTGCCAATACTTCCTGAAGCTCCGCTGAAATGCTCCCTGCCCAGCAGGCTGAGCTGCTCCCCGGTGCCTGGCCATGTGGAGACCACAAGACGAGGGGCCTGAGGCGGGGAGGGGGTGCCAGCAGGAAGAACAGGGGTCACAATGGCCTGTCCCTGGCGGTTCACCGGGCGGTCCGCAAAGCACCGCACAGTGAGAACCACGGCTGGCACTATGAGGAGCTCGTCCAGGGGAGGCCTGACGGAGGGCGGGCTACCTGAATGGGGTCTTGAAGGATGTGTAGGAGTTGACAGCTAGAAGCAAACTGGGATTTCAAAGTGGCTGGAAAGGCCTGGGCGGGGGCGTGCCCATGGACTGGGCAGGGAAAGGGCCTGGTTTCAGGAAAAGGCTGGAGATTTCACCCCAAAAGACGGAAGCACTGACTGGGCTGGGAAGATACCATTGGTGGCAGAGGACACCCTTGGGACCCCCAGCAGACACCCTAATCAGGGTCCGCCCTCTGTTCCTCCGGGGAACAGAGCACCCCCCACACACACTGCTCATGTCCTGTCCACACCCCACCCCAGTCTCCAGGCGAGTTCCTTGAAGTCAAAGAACAGGAAGGAAGGGGGGGGGACCTCCCACAGCGATGTCCAGGACCTGCCTCCAGCCCAGGCACCAGGGGCCCGGGCACCGTCCCTGCTCCCCACCCTGGGCTGTGGAAGGTGGGTGCGCCACACTGACCTGGTTGTAGAGGGCGCAGATGTGCAGGGCCGTGTTCCCAGAGGCGTTCTGTGCCCCCATGTCCGCCCCGTAGAAAAGCAGGTGCTCCAGGTGCTGCACGTGCCCGTACCTGCAGGCCTGAGACAAGACCTGCTGTCAACGGGGTCCGCGGGACACGCCCAGCTCCGCACCTGCCGCTCCCACCCCAGGGGGCAGTAAGCGGGGGCAGCATCTGCCCTGGCCAGCAGGTGATGGGGGCGTGGCCTCAGGTGGTGATGGCATGGTCTGAGGTTGATGGTGGGGGCGTGGCCTGATGGTGAAGATGGCTATGGTGGGGGCGTGGCTAGAGGGGAGGAGCAAGGTGATGGGGCGTGGCCAAGTAGTAACCATGACAATGATAACGGTGGGCATATACTGTGCAGTCACTGGATGCCAGGTGCTCCCCATGAGTTTCTTCACTGAACTGTCCTGAGCAAGAAGTTATGACTCACTGACCCCACGGCCCCCACGTGGGCCAGTCACGTGTCCCGGCTGCACACCAAGGTTTGTGGGAAAGAACCCGGCCTCTGCCCAGCAGCTGGCCTCTCAATGCACAGCCCCCGGGCCTCAGGCGGGAGCGAGGGGGCAGGAGGGGGCAGGCAGGCCTGAAACTACCCAGCAATTAAAACCACAAGTTCTCAGGTTGTGGGGAAGCATCTGGGTGCTTCTTCCTTCTTTAGAAGAATAAACGTTATTAAAGCAAACAAATAATAATAAATGTTATTGTTTGCAGGGAGGAGGAGAGAGGGATAGCAACATCAACGATGAGAGAGAGTAACTGATTGGCGGCCTCCTGCACGCCCCACACTGGGGACCCGAACCTGCAACCAGGCCTGTGCCCTGACCTGGAACCGAACCCCGACCTCCTGGTTCCCAGGTCGATGCTCGGCCCCTGAGCCTCGCTGGCCGGGCATTACCTCCTCCTTCTACTTCGTTCATGAAAGATCTCCGCCCGAGGCTGTGTCAGGGAAAACTGGGGGGACTAGAGTGACAACTTCTGAGACCCTTTGCAGACATGAGCTCAAAAAACCGCTCTTCCCGAGTCAGCCTGCAGGGGGCGGGCACCCCAGCGGCGGTGCCTGGGCCCTGGCTGGGAAAGCCGCCTGGGCAATGAAACCCGGGTCCTGGGCGATGCCACCTGCAGCACCGTGGGCAGGCCTGGCGTGGGCACCCGGGATCCTGAGAGGAAGCGGAGCCAGACACGCTGGGACAGAGCTGTCCACACCCCGGGGTGCTACGGGGAGGGGGGGGGCGGGCGGGGGGAGGGGGGCAGACTTTAATTGCAGAAGCCAGATGCCCCGGATCGCAGAGCGGAACCAGCCGCCTGCCCCTTCCCCCCTGCCCCGGGCGCCCTGCCCTGTCAGCACCGCTCCTGTTCAGGCCTGGAGGAGAGGAAGAGCCAGGGAGGAGCGGGTATGGGAGGAGCAGAGGGCGCTACCCTGCCCGCTGGGGCCCGCCCGGAGGGGACCTGCCCGAGGGGTCCCTGCCCACCCGGGGACCTGCCCGCGGGGCCGCCCGGGGGTCCCTGCCCGAGGAGGACCTGCCCGCGGGGCCGCCCGGAGGGGACCTGCCCGCCCGGGGGGCCCTGCCCGGAGGGTCCCTGCCCCGGGGCCGCCCGGGGCCCTGCCCGGCGCACCTGGTGGATCTCCTGCCAGCCGTTCTCGTCCCGGCAGCACACCGCCGCCCGCTCATGCAGCAGCAGCTCGCAGCAGTGGGGGTCGCCGCCCACGATGGCCGTGTGGTAGAGCGGCGTGAGGCCGCAGCTGTCCTTGTAGTCGGGGGACGCGCCCAGCTCCAGGAGGGTCTGGGGGAACGGAGGGTGGGCTGGCCGCGGGGCCACGGCCGTGCCTGGCGGCACAGAGGCCGGCACAGCGCTCCCACGGCCGGAACCGGGCGCAGGACAGCCGGACGCCCCCGCCCCCCGCCCCCCGCGGTCACCTGGCTGGCGGGAGTAAGGGGGGAGGGCACCCGGCCCCATGGCCGCCCCGCACCTTGAGGGCCGCCCGGTTGCGGGCGCGGGCGGCCTTGTGCAGCGCCGTCAGCCCGTCGCGGGCGCGGAAGTCCAGGTGCGCCCCGCCGTTCCGCAGCGCCTTGATCACCTCCGCCGAGTCGTCCAGCTGGGCCGCCAGGGTCAGGGGCGTCTCTGGGGGGACGCACACCCTCAGAGCCAGCCCTGGGGGCCCGAGCAGCGCAACCCCACACACGACGGGAGGTAACCGACACAGAGGGGAGAGCCTGCATGCAGCATGAGGGCCTGGAGGGGCTGAGGCCAGGGGGCAGACACACAGACAGACAGACCGTCCGGCCACAGCCACCGGGGGCGCTGGAGGCCGCCGGGACCTGCGGAGCGCACACTTCCTCCGGCTGTGCCTGCGGGGAGCAGGTCCCGGGGCCTGTGTGTGTGTGTGTGTGTGTGTGTGTGTGTGCAGCCAGCGGAGACGCTGCATCCTGAAAGTTGCTGCCGGGCCGGTGTGGCTCAGTGGTTGGGCGTCGACCTATGAACCAGGTTCGATTCCAGGTCAGGGCACGGGCCGGGGTTGCTGGCTTGGTCCCCAGTGTGGGGCGGGCGGGCAGGAGGCAGCAACCCGTTGGTGTTTCTCTCTCCCTCTCCCTTCCTCTCTGAAAATGATAAAATATATTTAAAAAATAAAAAGAGTTGCTAAGAGAGCAGTTTGAGGAAATTCTCATCGTAGAAAAGAGACTGTAACCACGCGAGGAGGTCGCCACACACACACACACACACACACACACGCACCCTGCAGCAGCACGGATGCCGTGGTGCAGGTCACTCTCACCCAGGAAACAGAGGGGGAGACAAACTAAGATTAAATAAAAGCCGGTGCTCGTTTGGAATTTTGAAAAAAGAAAAAGAGCTCTGGACAATTGTGCTCAGTGGTTAGAGCATCAACCTGCAGACTGAGGGTCCCGGGTTCGATTCTGGTCAAGGGCACGTATCTCAGCTGCAGGCTTGATCCCGGGTCCCGGTCAGGGCACGTGCGGGAGGCAACCAATCCATGTGTTTCGCTCCCTCTCCCCCTCCCTTCCTCTCTCTCTCTCTCAAAAAATCAATGTGAGGATTAACAATAGAGAGAAAGGAATGGAGGGAGGGAGAGAAGGAGGGAAAGAGGGAAGGAGAGAAGAAGGAGGGGAGGAGGGACGGTGGGAGGAAGGGAGAAACCCCAGGGCCCCAATGTCACCAGGCACCCTGAGAACCCGGGGCCAGTCCATCACACGAGGGAGGGGCTTGGTTCCCAGCAGGAGGGGCGAGACCCTCGCGAACACAGCAGCGTGGTGCGTGACATCATTCGTTCACTCGTTCTCGCATTCCCTCAGCCAGCAGGTGTGTACCGAGCACGTGCGGACGCCGGAGACCGGGAGCGAGCACGGCTCACCGCCCTCCCGGCGCGCCCTGAAGCCGGGCCGTGGACGCCGCCCACGCGGGACGGGCACCGTCTGCCACGCTTACCGCCCGTGTCCAGGTCGTGGAAGTTCGGGTCCAGGCCCCGGTCCAGCATCTTCACCATCTTCTCCACCGAGCGGTGCTGCACGTAGTCCATGCATTTCCGCAGGCTGGTCTGCGGGAGACGGACGGCGAGGGCGTCCGCACGGGAGACGCCTCACGGCGCCTCGACCCCCGCCACGGAGGGAGCCGCCCCCCGGCCCTGCCAGCCCCGGGGCTGCCACGCGGCTCTCCGCCCGGGCCCACGTGAGGCTGCCGCAGCGGCTTTCCTGTCCTGTCCTCGCCCGGAGTGCGGTTACGTCAGGCGGGGAGAACCTCACCGCAGAGCCGCCCTGAGCTCAGAGAGGACAGACAGCGGGATGGCCACCGGCAGACAGACAGACAGACAGACAGACAGCAGGATGGTCACCGGCAGATGGACAGACAGACAGACAGGGGGATGGCCACTGGCAGACAGACAGACAGACAGACAGCGGGATGGCCACCGGCAGACAGTCAGACAGACAGACAGCGGGATGGCCACCGCAGATGGACAGACAAACAGACAGACAGCGGGATGGCCACCGGCAGATGGACAGACAGCATGATGACCACCGACAGACAGACAGACAGACAGCGGGATGGCCACCGGCAGACACAGATAGACAGACAAACAGACAGCGGGATGGCCACCGGCAGACAGACACTGTGATAGCTGCCAGCAGTCAGACAGACAGACAGTAGGATGGCCGCCAGCAGACAGACAGACAGACAGACACTGTGATGGCTGCCGGCAGTCAGACAGACAGACAGCGCGGGGGGCGCCGGGCTGCCTACCTTGCTGTGCAGCCTGGCCAGCTGCTTCTCGTCCGGGGGGCGCTGTCCGTACACCCGCCTCTTGTACCGGAACTGGCGGGGACCGGAGAGAGGATAATGAGCGCTCCCCGCGGCTCGGGGACCGCCTCTCCGCCAGCCACCGAGCGGGGCACCCACACCCCGGCGCCACGGAACCGGCACACCGCACCCCCGGCGCCACGGAACCGGCACACCGCACCCCCGGCGCCACGGAACCGGCACACCGCACCCCCGGCGCCACGGAACCGGCACCCCGCACCGGGCCCAGCACCGCCCAGGGCCACGGGACCGCCGCACTGCACCACCCGGGGCCCAGCACCACCCGGGGCCACGGAACTGGCCACACTGCACCGGGCCCAGCACCGCCTGGGACCATGGAACCGGCCACACCGCCCGGGGCCACGGAACCACCGCCCCACACCGGGCCCAGCACCGCCCGGGGCCACGGAACCACCGCCCCACACCGGGCCCAGCACCGCCCGGGGCCACGGAACCACCGCTCCACACTGGGCCCAGCACCGCCCAGGGCCACGGAACCGGCACCCCGCACCGGGCCCAGCACCGCCCCCGGCCCAGCACCGCCCGGAAAGCACAGGCCGCGCTGCGAGGCGGGAAAGAGACAGAGACCCCGGGGAGGGGGCCTCCGTGGGGAGGGGGCACCGGCGTGGGGGCTGCCCCAGAGCCACGCCTGTGCCCAGCCAGCAGGCACCTCTGACCGGAGGCCACGCCGGAGCCCAGCCCGTCTGTGGAGGCCGAGGAGAGAGAGGGCAGTGGGTGTGGGTGTGGGTGTGGGTGTGGGAGTGGGAGTGGGTGTGGGTGTGGGAGTGGCAGTGGGTGTGGGTGTGGGTGTGGGAGTGGGTGTGGGTGTGGGTGTGGGAGTGGGTGTGGGAGTGGGTGTGGGTGTGGGTGTGGGTGTGAGTGTGTGGGGTGTGGGTGGGTGTGGGTGGGTGTGTGTGTGGGTGGGTATGTGTGGGTGTGGGTGTGGGTGTGGGTGTGGGTGTGGGAGTGGGTGTGGGAGTGGGTGTGGGAGTGGGTGTGGGAGTGGGAGTGGGTGTGGGTGTGGGAGTGGGTGTGGGAGTGGGTGTGGGAGTGGGAGTGGGTGTGGGAGTGGGTGTGAGTGTGGGTGTGGGTGTGGGTGTGGGAGTGGGTGTGGAAGTGGGTGTGGGTGTGGGAGTGGGTGTGGGAGTGGGTGTGGGTGTGGGTGTGGGTGTGGGAGTGGGTGTGGGTGTGGGAGTGGGTGTGGGAGTGGGTGTGGGAGTGGGAGTGGGTGTGGGAGTGGGTGTGGGTGTGGGTGTGGGAGTGGCAGTGGGTGTGGGTGTGGGTGTGGGAGTGGGTGTGGGTGTGGGTGTGGGAGTGGGTGTGGGAGTGGGTGTGGGTGTGGGTGTGGGTGTGAGTGTGTGGGGTGTGGGTGGGTGTGGGTGGGTGTGTGTGTGGGTGGGTATGTGTGGGTGTGGGTGTGGGTGTGGGTGTGGGTGGTGGGAGTGGGTGTGGGAGTGGGTGTGGGAGTGGGTGTGGGAGTGGGAGTGGGTGTGGGTGTGGGAGTGGGTGTGGGAGTGGGTGTGGGAGTGGGAGTGGGTGTGGGAGTGGGTGTGAGTGTGGGTGTGGGTGTGGGGTGTGGGAGTGGGTGTGGAAGTGGGTGTGGGTGTGGGAGTGGGTGTGGGAGTGGGTGTGGGTGTGGGTGTGGGTGTGGGAGTGGGTGTGGGTGTGGGAGTGGGTGTGGGAGTGGGTGTGGGAGTGGGAGTGGGTGTGGGAGTGGGTGTGGGTGTGGGTGTGGGTGTGGGAGTGGGAGTGGGTGTGGGTGTGGGAGTGGGTGTGGGAGTGGGTGTGGGAGTGGGAGTGGGTGTGGGAGTGGGTGTGGGTGTGGGTGTGGGTGTGGGAGTGGGAGTGGGTGTGGGTGTGGGAGTGGGTGTGGGAGTGGGTGTGGGAGTGGGTGTGGGAGTGGGTGTGGGAGTGGGTGTGGAAGTGGGTGTGGGTGTGGGAGTGGGTGTGGGTGTGGGTGTGGGAGTGGGAGTGGGTGTGGGAGTGGGTGTGGGAGTGGGTGTGGGTGTGGGAGTGGGTGTGGGTGTGGGTGTGGGAGTGGGTGTGGGTGTGGGAGTGGGGTGGGAGTGGGTGTGGGAGTGGGTGTGGGTGTGGGTGTGGGTGTGGGAGTGGGAGTGGGTGTGGGTGTGGGAGTGGGTGTGGGAGTGGGTGTGGAAGTGGGTGTGGGTGTGAGTGTGGGTGTGGGAGTGGGGTGTGGGAGTGGGTGTGGAAGTGGGTGTGGGTGTGGGAGTGGGTGGAGTGGGTGTGGGAGTGGGTGTGGGAGGTGGGTGTGGGGAGGGGGTGTGGGTGTGGGAGTGGGTGTGGGTGTGGGAGTGGGTGTGGGAGTGGGTGGGGTGTGGGAGTGGGTGTGGAAGTGGGTGATGGGTGTGAGTGTGGGTGTGGGAGTGGGTGTGTGTGAGTGTGGGTGTGGGTGTGGGAGTGGGTGTGGGTGTGGGAGTGGGTGTGGGTGTGGGTGTGGGTGTGGGTGTGGGTGGGGAGTGGGTGTGGGAGTGGGTGTGGGTGTGGGAGTGGGTGTGGGTGTGGGTGTGGGTGTGGGTGTGGGTGGGGTGTGGGAGTGGGAGTGGGTGTGGGTGTGGGAGTGGGTGTGGGTGTGGGAGTGGGTGTGGAAGTGGGTGTGGGTGTGGGAGTGGGTGTGGGAGTGGGTGTGGGAGTGGGTGTGGGTGTGGGAGTGGGTGTGGGAGTGGGTGTGGGTGTGGGAGTGGGTGTGGGAGTGGGTGTGGGTGTGGGGAGTGGGTGTGGGTGTGGGTGTGGGTGTGGGTGTGGGTGTGGGAGTGGGTGTGGGAGGTGGGTGTGGGTGTGGGAGTGGGTGTGGGAGTGGGTGTGGGAGTGGGTGTGGGTGTGGGAGTGGGTGTGGGTGTGGGTGTGGGGTGTGGGAGTGGGTGTGGGTGTGGGTGTGGGGTGTGGGTGGGTGGGAGTGGGTGTGGGAGTGGGTGTGGGAGTGGGTGTGGGAGAGTGGGTGTGGGTGTGGGAGTGGGTGTGGGAGTGGGTGTGGGTGTGGGAGTGGGTGTGGGTGTGGGTGTGGGAGTGGGTGTGGGTGTGGGAGTGGAGTGTGGTGTGGGTGGGGGTGGGTGGGGTGTGGGGTGGGTGTGGGTGTGAGTGTGGGTGTGAGTGTGGGTGTGAGTGTGGGTGTGAGTGTGGGAGTGGGAGTGGGTGTGGGTGTGGGTGTGGGAGTGGGTGTGAGTGTGGGTGTGAGTGGTGGGTGTGAGTGTGGGTGTGAGTGTGGGTGTGAGTGTGGGAGTGGAGTGGGTGTGGGTGTGGGTGAGGGGTGGGAGTGGGTGTGGGTGTGGAGAGTGGGTGTGGGGAGTGGGTGTGGGTGTGGGTGTGGGAGTGGGAGTAGGGCGGCCTCCTGCCTTCACCCCCGCCCTCCTCCGGGCCCTGACCCCCCTTTGGGGCAGAAGCCCGGGGATGCTCCAGGCTCAGGAGGCCTGACCCGTGGGCGGCCTGAGTTCCGAACTGGGGCCCCTGATTAACCCCCACACCCGGCATCCACTGCGGGGCCCTCCCGCCCCGGAGGCTGCGGCCCCCCCGCCCCCCCCCCCGGCCCCCAACGGCTCGCGCGCGGCTGTGATCACACGGGGCGCCGGGCGGGACGGGCTGGGAGCCGGCCAGCGGGCCTCCGGGCCCTGGCGCCGCCGTGAGGGCCGCCCGGGCCGTCGGGTCCGCAGGGAGCAGCGGCCCGGCCGTCCTACCTCCAGGGCGGGCACGCCGGGGCCGGCGGGCGGCGGGTACTCGCGCAGCAGCCGCTCCTCGTCCAGGAACTTGCCGGCGCGGCCGCCGCGGGCCGGCTGGAACAGCCCGTAGTTGAGCACGTCCTTGAGGCTCTGGCTCAGCGAGCACAGCACCCGCTGCTTGGCCGCCCACACCGTGGCGTCGGGGTCGAAGCGGAGGCACTTCTGCGGGACAGGACCCGAGGCCGGTGACCGGCCCGCCCGCCCGCCCCGCGGCCCGGCACGGCCGGAGGGCAAAGGAGCTTCCGCCCGAGACCGCCCCCCGCCCCCGGCCCCCCGGCCCCAGCCCCGCCCCCGGCCCCCCGGCCCGGACCCCGCCCCCGCCCCCCGGCCCCGGCCCCGCCCCGACCCCGCCCCCGGCCCCCGCCCCCGGCCCCCCGCCCCCGGCCCCCGACCCCAGCCCCGCCCCGGCCCCGCCCCCCGGCCCCACCCCGGCCCCGACCCCGCCCCGCCCCGCCCCCCGACCCCGGCCCCGCCCCCGACCCCGGCCCCCGACCCCGACCCCGACCCCGACCCCCGCCCCCGGCCCCGACCCCGACCCCACCCCCGCCCCCCGCCCCCGGCCCCCCGGCCCCGACCCCTGCCACCACCCCCGGCCCCAGCCCCGCCCCCGGCCCCGCCCCCGACCCCCAGCCCCTGGCCCCCGGCCCCGGCCCGGACCCTGCCACCGCCCCCGGCCCCAGCCCCGCCCCCGGCCCCGCCCCCCGCCCCCCGCCCCGCCCCCTGCCCCGGGCCCGGCCCCGACCCCGCCCCGGCCCCGCCCCCGACCCCCAGCCCCTGGCCCCCGGCCCCCGACCCCCGGCCCCCGACCCCGCCCCCCCCCGGCCCCCGACCCCGCCCCCCCGACCCCCGGCCCCCAACCCCGCCCCCGGCCCCCGCCCCCTGCCCCCCGCCCCCGGCCCCCGCCCCCGACCCCCGCCCCCGACCCCCAGCCCCTGGCCTCTGCCCCCCCACCCCCGCCCCCGCCCCCGCCACCCCCGGCCCCCGCCCCCCCGCCCCCGGCCCCCGACCCTGGCCCCCGACCCCCCCCCCGGCCCCGGACCCTGCCACCACCCCCGGCCCCAGCCACGCCCCCGCCCCCCCCCGACCCCGGCCCCTGCCCCCGCCCCCGCCCCCGCCCCTGCCCCCCCCCCCTGCAGCTTCTCAGGATGCACAGTGAGGCCCTCTTATTGGGGGGGGGGGCAGATACCCGGTCACTGTAAATGCTGAGAAGGAGACACTGGTTTCTGTGGCCTTGACCCTCACTGACCCCACCACTGACCCCACTGCTGACCTCACCGCTGACCCTTGACCTCCCACTGACCTCCCACTGACCCCCCACTGACCTCACCCTGACCTCCCACTGACCCCACCCCTGACCTCCTACTGACCTCACCCTGAGCTCCCACTGACCTCCCACTGACCTCTCACTGACCCCACCACTGACCTCACCACTGACCCCACCACTGACCTCACCACTGACCCCACCACTGACCCCACCACTGACCCCACCACTGACCTCACCACTGACCCCACCACTGACCTCACCACTGACCCCACCACTGACCCCACCACTGACCCCACCACTGACCTCACCACTGACCCCACCACTGACCTCCCACTGACCCCACCACTGACCTCCCACTGACCTCACCACTGACCTCACCCTGATCTCCCACTGACCTCACCACTGACCCCACCACTGACCTCACCACTGACCCCACCACTGACCCCACCACTGACCCCACCACTGACCTCCCACTGACCCCACCACTGACCTCCCACTGACCTCACCCTGATCTCCCACTGACCCCACCCCTGACCTCACCCTGATCTCCCACTGACCTCACCACTGACCCCACCACTGACCTCACCACTGACCCCACCACTGACCCCACCACTGACCTCCCACTGACCCCCCACTGACCTCACCCTGAGCTCCCACTGACCCCACCCCTGACCTCACCCTGATCTCCCACTGACCTCACCACTGACCCCACCACTGACCTCACCACTGACCCCACCACTGACCTCACCACTGACCCCACCACTGACCTCACCACTGACCCCACCACTGACCTCACCACTGACCCCACCACTGACCTCACCACTGACCCCACCACTGACCTCCCACTGACCCCCCACTGACCTCACCCTGACCCCCCACTGGCACACGCAGTGGGCATGGGCATGAGGCGGCGGAGCTGCTGGTGTCCGGGGGTGGAGGTGGGCACGGGCCGTGCCGCCCCAGAGAGCGGAGGCCACCGCCCAGCCAGCCGCCCAGCCTCTGCTCTCCCCCGAGGCTCCGGCGCCCGGCCCTGGAGGGCGAGGCCAGCGGGCGAGAGGCCACCTGACCGCCCATGAGACGCCGGCGCTGGCCCTGGAGGAGCCCGGCAGCGGACAGCGGAACGGCATCTGCAGGGCGTGGCCAGTAGGTGGCGCAGCGGGACCGGCCGCCGTTCTCCTCCGACAGAGCGACCCCTGCCCTGCTTTCCCCGGGAGGGACTGCGCCAGGCCCCTGCCCGCAGGGAGCAGGGGGGAGGCCCGCTGTGTGCGGGCGTGTGTGTGTGTGTGTGTGTGTGTGTGTGTGTGTAGGGGACAGTGTGTGTGTGTAGGGGACAGTGTGTGAGTGTGTGCGTGTGTGTGTGTGTGTGTGTGAGTGTAGGGGACAGTGTGTAAGTGTGTGTGTGTGTGTGTGTGTGTGTGTGTAGGGGGCAGTGTGTGAGTGTGTGTGTGTGTGTGTGTGTGTAGGGGGCAGTGTGTGTGTGTGTGTAGGGGACAGTGTGTCTGTGTAGGGGACAGTGTGTGTGTGTGTGTGTAGGGGACAGTGTGTGTGTGTGTGTAGGGGACAGTGTGTGTGTGTAGGGGGCAGTGTGTGTGTGTGTAGGGGGCAGTGTGTGTGTGTGTGTAGGGGGCAGTGTGTGTGTGTGTGTAGGGGACAGTGTGTGTGTGTGTAGGGGACAGTGTGTGTGTGTAGGGGGCAGTGTGTATGTGTAGGGGACAGTGTGTGTGTGTGTGTAGGGGACAGTGTGTGTGTGTGTAGGGGACAGTGTGTGTGTGTGTGTGTAAGGGGCAGTGTGTGTGTGTAGGGGGCAGTGTGTGAGTGTGTGTATGTGGGGGGCAGTGTGTGTGTGTAGGGGGCAGTGTGTGTGTGTGTGTAGGGGGCAGTGTGTGTGTGTGTGTGTAGGGGGCAGTGTGTGTGTGTAGGGGACAGTGTGTGAGTGTGTGTGTGTGTGTGTGTGTGTAGGGGACAGTGTGTGTGTGTGTAGGGGACAGTGTGTGTGTGTGTGTGTGTGTGTAGGGGACAGTGTGTGTGTGTGTAGGGGGCAGTGTGTGTGTGTGTGTAGGGGACAGTGTGAATGTGTGTGTGTGTGTGTAGGGGACAGTGTGTGTGTGTGTGTGTAGGGGACAGTGTGTGTGTGTGTAGGGGGCAGTGTGTGTGTGTAGGGGGCAGTGTGTGTGTGTGTAGGGGACAGTGTGTGTGTGTGTAGGGGGCAGTGTGTGTGTGTAGGGGACAGTGTGTGTGTGTAGGGGGCAGTGTGTGTGTGTGTAAGGGACAGTGTGTGTGTGTGTGTAGGGGACAGTGTGTGTGTATAGGGGGCAGTGTGTGTGTGTGTGTAGGGGACAGTGTGTGTGTGTGTAGGGGACAGTGTGTGTGTGTAGGGGACAGTGTGTGTGTATAGGGGGCAGTGTGTGTGTGTGTGTAGGGGACAGTGTGTGTGTGTGTAGGGGACAGTGTGTGTGTGTAGGGGACAGTGTGTGTGTGTGTGTGTGTGTGTAGGGGACAGTGTGAGTGTGTGTGTGTGTAGGGGGCAGTGTGTGCGTGTGTAAGGGGCAGTGTGTGTGTGTGTGGGGGACAGTGTGTGTGTGTAGGGGACAGTGTGTGTGTGTGTGTAGGGGACAGTGTGTGTGTGTGTGTGTGTGTGTAGGGGACAGTGTGTGTGTGTGTAGGGGACAGTGTGTGTGTGTGTGTGTGTGTGTAGGGGACAGTGTGTGTGTGTAGGGGACAGTGTGTGTGTGTGTGTGTGTGTGTGTAGGGGACAGTGTGAGTGTGTGTGTGTGTGTGTAGGGGACAGTGTGTGTGTGTGTAGGGGGCAGTGTGTGTGTGTAGGGGGCAGTGTGTGTGTGTGTAGGGGACAGTGTGTGTGTGTAGGGGGCAGTGTGTGTGTGTAGGGGGCAGTGTGTGTGTGTAGGGGGCAGTGTGTGTGTGTAGGGGACAGTGTGAGTGTGTGTGTGTGTGTGTGTGTGTAGGGGACAGTGTGTGTGTGTGTAGGGGGCAGTGTGTGTGTGTAGGGGGCAGTGTGTGTGTGTGTAGGGGACAGTGTGTGTGTGTGTAGGGGGCAGTGTGTGTGTGTAGGGGGCAGTGTGTGTGTGTAGGGGGCAGTGTGTGACTGTATGTGGGGGGGACAGCAGAGACAGCCCCCGGCCGGCTCACCGTCTGCTGCAGGTCCTGGATGACGATGCGGATGACCAGTGCGGGGCCCGGGCCCTCGGCGGTCCTGGCACCGCCCGGCCTGCCGGCCGCGGCCCGGACGGTGTCGTAGACGGTGTCCTCCTTGGAGCTGTCGGACTCGGAGCCCAGGGAGTAGTCGGAGACGCTGCGGGCCATCTCGTCCTCGCTGGACGTGGGGCTGCGCGGCATGGCGCCTGCCTGGGGGGACGGGGTGTTACCGGGCGCCCGCCTGGGGGGACGGGGTGTTACCGGGCGCCCATGTGGGGGGACGGGGTGTTACCGGGCACCTGCGTGGGTCCCGGTGCCTGGAGGGACGGGGTGTTACCGGGCGCTCACGTGGGGCCCCGGCGCCTGGGGGGACGGGGTGTTACCGGGCACCCGCGTGGGCGCCATTGGTGCTGTGGGCGCCGCGGGCCCTGTGTGAGCAGCCCGGTCTCAGAGGGGGTGAGAGCGGGCGCCCCACCTCCCAGGGCCCAGTCGCAGGCACAGCCAGGACCAGTGAGGCCCTCGAGCTCCGCCCAGAGCTGGCACCAGACTGAAGGGCGCCCTCGCCCCGCCGGCCTTGACCCAGGAGCCAGGAGGCCGCAGGGGACGTGCCTGGATTGAGGGCTCAATCCCCAGGGGGGCGTGCAGGAGGCAGCGATCCATCATTTGTTTCTCTCTCTCCCTCTCCCTTACAAGCCGCAGCCATGGCCGGTGTGCGGGGACTAACCGGGGTGGGCAGTTTGGAACTTTCCAGAACTTTCCAGGACTTTCCAGGGGAGAGGAAACGCTCGCCGTGGCGGCAGGAAGGGCGGCTGAGGTCGCAGCGGTGCCGGTTCCCCGACGTTAGCCCCTGCCCAGGCACTGGGACAGGAGACTCCAACCCGGGCCCAGGCAGGGCCGGCCCAGGACGGAGGCCGCCAGCCGGGGCCCCGGGGTCCCCGAGAGTGTGGAGCTGGGGCGCAGCTCCTGCCCATCCAGGCACTGACGTCCCTGCAAAGGCCCAGGAGGGGGCGCCGCCACCCAGCACGGCCCGGCGGGTGCCCGGGACACCGTGACCCCAGCTCCGGGCAGGGGGCCAGGAAGGCCGAGCCGGTGAGAGCCAGGGCTGTGGGAGGGGTGAAGGCCAGGCCGGGCGCCTCCCCTGCTCCGAGGACCTGATAGGGTGAAGGCCAGAGCCCAGGGGCTGCGCACGGGGCGGCTGCTCAGGCGCCCACAGCTCCCAGGGCTCAGGCTCCACAGGAAAACCGCGGGGCCCCGGCGCCCGCTGGCCTGGCCGCCCGCAGGCGTCCGGCTCCCCCGCCCACGTCACTGCGGCCCCGCGGCGAAGAGCACAGGCCGGCCCATCCTCCCGCCCTGCACTGCGCCCCTCAGGCCAGCCGCCTCTCTTCCCCAAATCAACCCCGGCCCCTGCAGCCCCGAGCGCGGGAGACCCGAGCAGCAGGCCGCGGAGGTGCCGGCCGGAGAGCGGGGAGCGGGGAGAGAGGAAGCGTGGGGGCGGGTCTGCCCTCCATCGGGCGGGCGAGGTGGCGTCGGTGGGACAGGCCCCGCGGGCGGCTCTCCCAGGAGCCGGCGGGCGGGCGCCGGGTAATCACAGGCCGGCGCCTGGCACCGCCCCAGGCACCTAATTACAGCGCGGGAGCCGCCGGTGGGCTCACCAGGCTCAGCAGCCGGTGCCCATGGCACACACAGTGCCTCTGTCCGCGTCAGGTTCCCACCCCGCCCGGCTCCAGGGTGAGGGCCCGGCTCCGGGGTGAGGGCCCGGCTCCGGGGTGAGGGCCTGGCTCCCGGGGGTGAGGGCCCGGCTCCCAGGGCGGGCGCGCAGGCAGGGCCTCGGAGCTTTGGAACCACACCCGCCGGGGTCCAGGGTGTGTCCGGGCCGGGTCCATGTGGTCGCTGAGCTCCGGGCCACGGTGATGACAGTCACAGCGCCAGGTGCCCCCAAGCCACGCCTGCAGCTCAGAGACACAGAGGTGCCCCAGCCTTCCCTGGGGCGGGGTCATGACCTGGGGTAAAGGTCACGTCCTGGGGGTCAGGGTCATGACTGGAGGTGAGGGTCGTGACCTGGGGCGAGGGGCCCTGTCCGGGCGCCCTGGACGCGGGAGAGGTGCAGCGTCGGCACGTCAGGGGGACCACCCAGCAGACACCAGTGCCGGGTCCTGTGGCTCCGCCCCCCCTCCGCTGCCTGCGACCCCAACGGGCGCCCAGAGGCAGCGGAGGGGGCGTGAGGACAGGAGGGCCACGCTAACGAGGAAATCCCGGGCGGGCAGGAGTGGCAGCCAGTGAGGTGGCCGAGGCACCCCACCTGCCGCCCGGCCAGCGTGTCCTCCCCCAGGGGCATGGCCCCAGAAAGCCCTTGGGCTTGGGGGCAGCACCGGCCTCAGTGTCAGCATCTGGAAAATGGGCACATGCAGAGCACAGCCCGGAGCAGACCCACACACGGAGTCCACGGAGCCCGCAGAACTGGGAGGTGTGGGCGGGACTCCATGACGTTAGGGCGCCGGGAGGGCAACATCCCCGTCCCTTTGCAGGCCACGCACCACGTCTCCGCCGTGGCCGGGTCTGAGCAGGAGGTGGTACGGCCCAGCGGGTTTCTAGAAAACCAGGGGGCGGGGCTCAGGGGGTTTCAGCTAAAATCAAACTCAACCCCAAACCCAAACAACAGCCCAGGACAGCCCCCCCTCCCGCCCCCCACAGCTGCCCGGGGCGAGCACCGCCCTCGCCCTCGCCGTGGCTGCTGGCGGGCACACAGGCCATCGGCTGCCGGAGCTCAGAGGCAGGGCCTGCTGGCGCCGGGCAGCAGGAGGCAGAGGATCATTCCAGACCCGCCCGGAGCCCGCGGCCGAGCCTGCGGGGTCCTGACCTTCCGTGGCCGGCCGCCTGGGCGGGAGGCCCTGGGAAGGCAAACACGGACGGTTACTGATTAACGCCGCGCCGAGCACGGGCGGTCCGCCCGCTCCGACACACGCGGCTCCGTTCCACCGAGCGTCGCCCGCCGGCGTGAGGCAGGCCGAGCAAAGACCCACCTGGATCCCCCGGAACCGGCCCGGTCTCAGCAGCGCCCCCCCGCGCCCCCTGGTGGTGGGGGGCTCACAGAGCAGAGGGAGGAGCCGCACCACTGGGGGCCGCTCCGGGAAAGAGTCCTGTCAGCCAGGCAGGGCTGCTGGGGCCAGCTATGTCTCGGGGAGGGGGCACCTCAAGCCAGAACAACAGGTCGATAAAGTTCAATGACGCTCGGGACGTGTTGGGTCTCACTGACCCTGCCGCCGAGGTCCCAGGTGACGCGGAGAAGGAGAACGGTGGCCGGAAGCCCTGGCCGGGGTGCCCAGTGGTCAGAGCGCCAGCCTGGGACCTGAAGGTCTCACGTTCACGTCCGGGTCCAGGGCTGGGACCTCGGTGGCAGGTTCGACCCCCAGTCCCAGTCGGGGCATGTGCAGGAGGCAACCCATTGATGTGTCTCTCATATCAATGCATCTCTCGCCCCCCCCCCACTCCTTCCCACTCTCTCTAAAGATCAGCGGAAAAATACCCGGGGGGATTAGAAAAACAATCAGCACATAACGTGAGGGCGGGAGAGGGAGTCTAACAAAGATTGTGTGGGTGGCTGCGAAGGTGGCCTGAGGAAACCCAAGTCTTTTATGTATATTATTGATTTTTTACAGAGAGGAAGGGAGAGGAAGAGAGAGTTAAAAACATCGATCAGCTGCCTCCTGCACGCCCCCCCTACTGGGGATGCGCCCGCAACCAAGGCACATGCCCTTGACCGGAATCGAACCCGGGACCTTTCAGTCCGCAGGCCGACGCTCTATCCACTGAGCCACACCGGCTTCGGCGAAACCCAAGTCTGAACGTGGCCCGCGCGGCCCCGATGTCTGACGGACAGACAGCCGACGGACGCTCCTGCTCGGGGCCCTCCAGCCACCGCGCCAAGAGGACACGGCCCTGAGACGGACACAGAAAAGCCACGTCCCGCCGGCGTGGCTCAGGGGCGGAGCCTCACCTATGACCTGGCAGGTCAGGGTCCGGTTCCCGGTCAGGGGTCAGGGCTCAGCGCACGTGCCCTCTTGCCGCCAATCGATGAGTCTCTCCTCATTGATGTTTCTCTCTCCATCCCTCGCCCTTCCTCTCGGAAATCAATTTAACAAAAGACAAGCCAATACCTCCTGGCGGGAGCCGGCCTCGTCAGATTTGCTTCTAAGAATGAGAAGGCCCCGCGGGCTCCGGTGGATGATATTTTTTTAAAAAAATATATTTTATTGATTTTGTACAGAGAGGAAGGGAGAGAGATAGAGAGTTAGAAACATCGATGAGAGAGAGTCATCGACCAGCTGCCTCCTGCACACCCCACACTGGGGATGTGCCCGCAACCAAGGTACATGCCCTGGACCGGAATCGAACCCGGGTCCCTTCAGTCCCCAAGCCGACGCTCTATCCACTGAGCCACACCGGTTTTGGCCAGTGGATGGTATTTTAAAAACCCTCTCTCTCTCCCAGAGGGACCGCGGACACCCTCTGTGCTGGGGAGCGAGACGCGGTGACCGCCCCTCTGCCCTGGGCGCCCAAACGTACACCACTCACTCTCCCCGGAGCGGCGGGACCTGAGGGGCCGGCATGGACGCCAACACTCAGGGTCAGGGTCAAGATCTAGGTCAAGGCCGGAGACGGAGCGCAGCCCTAGGGAACCTGGGGAACCGGAAGTGAGAGAGCGGTTCTGTCCGCCGTTGGAAACGGCCGAGAGGAGAGGACGAGAACACGGGGCTGGCGGCCGGTTGGGGGTGTGGAGGGGGCGGGTCTGGGGACGAGTGGCGGGTGGAAAGGTCACGGGAAAGCCCCCTGGTCTCCCGCGTCTGTTTAATCCCGGCTCCAGACGCAGCCTCACAGCGGCCACCGCGAGGGCCTGCTGCCGCGGCCGGGGCGGCGGGGGGAGAACTCTCCGGTAACCGCGCCCTCCCGCACGGCGGACCCGGGGAGAGAGGCTGCGAGCCGGCGGCGGCTGCATATCCCTGCCCGGCCCCCCCTCTCCCTCTTCAATAAAAGATGGCAGGGTCGCATTTCAAATCGACAAGCGCACGCCGTGCCAGCAGCACCCGACGGGCCTCGCACCCCCTCGGCCCCCGGCCGCCATCTGGAGCCCGGGGAGGGGGCGGGGGGAGTCCCCCCGCTGGGGCGCCCAC